TTTGATTGTTTGTGTTTTAAGTGTCAAACCTGAGAAATCATTGCTTTGAGGCCACAAAGATCTAATTTATGTTTTCTCCTAAGATTTTAGCTTTTGTGTTTAGGTCTTTGGTCCAATTTGGATTAGTTTTTGTATGGAGTATGAGTAAGAATCCAAATTCATTTTTTTTGTTTTGCATATGCGTATCCAGTTTGCCCAGCACCATTTGTTGAAAAGACGATTTTTTTTTTCCTTCAAATTGTCTTGTTAAAAAGCAACCTACTTGGGGCTGGGGTTGTGGCTCAGCGGTAGAGCGCTCGCCTAGCACATGTGAGGCCCTGGGTTCAATCCTCAGCACCACATAAAATAAAGACGTTGTCCTTCTACAACTAAAAAAATAAATTTAAATAAATCAACCTACTTTTAACATTTAGTGTATTATGGGCATCTTTCTATACTAATAAATGGACAGTATAGCATCTTTTAAAAATAAATTTTTATAAAAATATGATGTCCATAAAGGAAAATGCAAATATCATGACTGTTAAACTTGACCAATTTTCACAAAGTATTTGCACCATGTAGCCACGATTCAGAGCAAAAATAGCACCCCAGACTTCCCCTTTGTCCCCATCCTCGCCACCACCTCCAGCCTCCGACCCCCTCCCCAGCGGTAGCTCCCACCCTGGCTCCTACCGCTGTAATTTGGCTTCCCCTACTTTTAAGCTCTATGTCGCACAATTTGCATGCTCTTTGCACCTGGCTGCTTTCACCCAACATTCCACCAAGGCCGAGGGACTCCTGGGATGTGGTGGTTTGTTCCTTGTCACAGGTTGTTAGGATCACAGCATCACTTCTTAGTGTTTTTCCTTTGCAAATATTGACTGCATGCCAGGCCCTGTTCTAGGCCCTGGGGGGGGGTGCGAACAAGGAAGAAGGTTCCTGATCCCTTGGAGTGAGAGAGACAGCAAAGGCTATAAATCAATAGAACACAGAGCCTGTTGTGTGGAGACAGCGCTAAAAAGGAAAGTCCAAAATAAGTCCAGGAAAGGGGCAGTGGGGGATTGCAGTTGGACACCTCACTGAGGTGCAGGGAAGGCCTCACTGAGAAAATCACACGTAAGCAAAGACCCGAAAGAGGTGAAGGAGCAAGCCATGTGGGTTTCTAAAGGAAGAGCATTCCAGGCAGAGGGGACAGCAAGGGCCTGGAGACGGTGGCAGGTCTGCCAGATCTCAGGAACAGCCGGGAGGCCAGTGTGGCTGGAGGAGCTGGAGTCAGGGGAAAGTGGGGCTGTGTTGGTCAGGGTTCTCCAGGGGGACAGAGCCCATGGGGAGGCACATGGCTTACAGGGTCAGAGGCTGGGTACTCCCACAATGGCTGTCCATAGAGAGCCGAGGAACCCGCAGCCGCTCAGTCCAAGAAGCTGAAGCCTCAGAAGAAGAGGGACCAGTGAGGCAGCCCCGGTCTGAGACAGAAGGTCTGGGGGCGCCACCGAGAGTCACCAACGTGAGTCCTCAATTAAAGGCAGAAGAAACTGGAGTCTGCAGGTGGTGGCAGGAGCACTAGCTCAAGAAGAATGAGCTTGCCTGTGTTGGCACGCTCTCCCCTCCTTCTGCCTTTTGTCCCACTGGGGCCCCCTGCCTACAGGACAGTGTTGCCCACGTTGAAGGGAGCCCCCACCCCCACTTTGCTGACCCACATCCTGGTCGTCTCTGCAGGCACATGTGACAGACAAGCTGGTGGTCAACGTCCTAAGACAGATCTGTACCCACCCACTCGGGCCCCTAAAGCCAGCATGTGCCCTCCTCAGCAGCGTGGGGTAGTGGTTAGAGCATGACCTCTGGTGTCAGAGGTGTGGGGCTAATGTTGGCCTTGGCAGGTTACCTGGCTTTTATGTGCCTCAGTTTCTCTATCTATAAACTAGGGATGTTAACAACCAATACCAGTAGGTGGGATTAACTGGGTTAACGGTGTAAAAACGGATGATATATAGTAAGCACTACTCCAATGTCCGTTATTTCCTTATTTCTCATCATTTTTCTTTTGAGTTAGACTTTGCTTTTTTAAAATCCTCAAATAAGTGTTTTTATTTTAACACCTTAAATGTACAACCATCGTCATTTGCTTGGAGGAATAAGTTCTAAAGTAACTCTCAATTAAACACAACCATGCTCTTAAATTCCAGGAGGGATGGCTGCAGGGCCCCTAGGACAGACTGCGGTAGGCAGGTGTTTAGGCCCCGTTAGTAGGAAACCTGCGTCCTCTGGCCTCAGCTTTCACAGGAAACTGAGGAAAGAGAAGCTCTAAAGGCCCTGCCCACTCTGACCCAGCCTGTCATCTGGGTCCCGTACAGTAGGCTAGGGTGACTAAGACTTCTGGTCCCTCAAAGGGCGCGACGTTTCCTACTGACCAGGGACTTTCCCAACCTGGTTCCACCGAGCAGGGCCCAGGGTGCGCGTGGGGCCGGGGTGGGGCCTGCTGCCAGGACTCCCCGGTTCCCTCCGGGTTGACACGTGGCCCAGAAGGTGGCACACACTTCGCCAGGGAACGCGTCCAGGGTCGCGCAGTCCCGCCGGCACCAGACTCCTTGGGGTCAGCGGATCCACGCGGTCCCGGGAGAGGACCGGCCAGCCCACCCGGGACCGCACGGCGCGGGAGGGGAGTGGCCTCCTCGGGGCGGAGCAGGGCCGAAGTGGGCGGGGCCTGGGGAGGCGGGGCCGAGGGCGGCCGAAGTGGGCGGGGCCCGGGGGCGGGGCCCGGGAGGCGGGGCCGGGGGAGGGGCGAATCCTGGACCTGCCGGATCCCCTGGTGCAGGCGCGTCCCGCTGGGGCCCAGGATTCGGGTGCCGGCCGCTGGGCGGTGAGTGCTCGTCCAGGCCCCAGGAAGGCAGGCGGACAGTGGGCACCGAGGGTCCCGCCCCGGGGTCACTTGGCTCCGGAGCCAGGCTGGCCGCCCGGCTTGGGGAGGAGTTGCCTCGGTTTCCCCCAGGGGAGGGAGAAGAACGGGGCGTCGCGAGGGCGGGAGCCCCCTGGCAGGGCTCTGGGGGTGTGGACAAATTGGCCGGAACCCTCAGTGGTCTCTGCGACCTGAGAGGCTGTGCCTTGGGGCTGGTGGGGGCTGTGGAGCCAGGAGACTGTGTCCTTTCTCTCCATGGCCAGCGAGGGACATCGCCCTGTAACTCTTACTGGGGTCTCTGGCCTCTCCCTTCCCCCTTGGTGCGGAGAAGGCCCAGTTCAGATCCCACCCTGCCCAGACAGGCCCACCCACCCAGGCCTGCCGTGTGCTGCAGTCTCGGGCTGTGGGCCTCTGCTTTGCTCTCAGGTTGGGGGAGCAGCCACCTGGTCCTACCTGACTTCAGGCAAACTGAAAGCTCTCCCACTCCGCGGCCTTGGGGTGCGTCTTCCTCAGGTGGATGGGGCTGGAGCGGGGACCAGGCTCCCAGATGCTCTGACTTTCCTGGCCCTTTCCGTAAGCTCTTTCCCTGTCTCCCTGCCTGGCTCTCCATGGACCATGACCTGGCTCCTCCAGGGCCCTTGTTCTCAGAGGGGAAAAAGCAGGCCTGCCACTCCTCCTCTGGCCTCTTAGTGAAGACCAGGTTGCTATCCCCACTGGTCCTGTGTTATGGCACTGCCAGAGCCCCTGGTCTTTGGTGACTCAAGCCCCCTTTGCCTCTCTCAATCTGAGTCTGAAAGTGCCCCGTCCAGCCACCTCCCTCCCACCCTGGTGGGAACTCCTCTGCAGCATAGGCCCCCACCCTGAGCGTGTTACTTGTGAGGTGGCCGTTCAGTGTTCTGCAGCTCTTGTTTCATTCAGCTAGCGGCTGTGGCTTGCCTCTGTCACCCCCTTGGGTCCTTGTGTGCCATTGGAGCCACACAGAGCAAGTGCATTCTTTCATTCCTTCCAACAACCTTTCTCAATGCACCGAGGGAGACAAGGGAGACCCGGCCATGGAAACATCAGACAGCACTCCTGCCCTGCTCTTGTGGAGTGCACACTCTAGAAAGGAGCACCAGCCGTGAAGTAAGCAACACATGGCATCTCAGGGGGTGAGAAGAGCTATGGAGAAAAAGAAAACAGGCAAGGTTGGGTGCTGTGGTTGGGGGTGGCAGTTTTGTATAGCATAGACGGGGACCATGGAGCAAAGTCTTAAGGAGGTGAGGGACAAGCCAGGTGACTAGTTTGGGGGGGGGAGGCTTAGAGATAGTACCCATTAAGCCAAGAGCTGGTGCAAATGTCCTGAGGCAGGAATATGACAGGCAGGAGCAGGCCTGACTTGTTCTTGGAAGGAGGAGGAGGCCAGTGTAGCTGGACCAGGAATGGGTGAGGAATTAGGAGGAAGTGAGTGCAGAAAGGTAAGTGGCAGGGAACTGAGTGTTCACTGAATGGGTCATTGAAGGTGGCAGTGTGGGCCACCACAGGGCTCTGAGCGGGGGAGTCCACCTGCTCTGCCTTAGCAGGTTCAGCTAGCTGTGAGGCTGAGAGTGGACAGTAGGGCATGAGGGAACAGGAGGACACAGTGAAGGGGGACCACCCAGGACAGAGATTTCAGATTCAGTGAGTATTCTGAAGCTTGGGTTGCCAGGATGTGGGGTGCAGGAGAAAGGTAGCGCCTAGGAGGACGCTGAGGCTTTGGCTTGAGCATCTACAAGTCTGGGGCTGCCATCGCTGAGATGGAGCTGTTTAGGGGGAGGGTCAGGGCTTTGGTTTTGTGCTTTTCCAGCTTGAGATGCCCCCGACATCCATGTGGTGTCAAGTAGGCCACTGGGAAGAGTGAGGGGAGGATTGGAGCTGGTGAGGACAGTTTAGGCATCGTCACCGTGAGGTTGGTGCTTCAAGCCAGGAGAGCAGGTGGGCCCACTCAGGGAGGGGGTATGGAGGAGAGGTCTAGTCCTTGAGCTCTGGGGCCTCAGTTCCAGGAACCAGCCAGAGAGAGAGAGAGAGAGAATCCAGTGGGAGGGGGGGAGTCAGAGTCTGGTGACCTGAGGGCCATGAGGGGAGCGTGTCAAGGGGGAGGGAGACCGTGGGGACCGACGCCTCTGGCAGAGGAGACCAGAGGAGACAAATGAGATTGTGTCATGGGAGGTCACGGGTGACCTCGACCAAAGTGGCCATCAGAGGGTTGGAAGGGCCATCAGAGGGGAAGAGCAGGAGGATTTGAGGACAGTGTTCAGCCATAGACAGGGGGCAAAGGGGCTTGGAGCTAAACGAGGACAGCAGCCCAGGGTGGGCTTTACGTTCACGGAGGAGGAATTAGTCCACAGTGTCCCCGTGGGAGTGGTCTCTGAGGGAAGAGCAGCCGAGAGCAGGGGAGGAGGATAGACCCTGTGGCCAGGGGAAGGAGGGAATGGATCTAATACTCCCGGGGAGGCTTGGCCCCAGCTCGGACCCAGGCAACCCTAGCTGGGCCTCCTTGGGCCTCCCTTTCCTTCTGTCTGCAGGGGGTGGAGGCTAAGATTTTAACACACCGAGCACCTGTTGTGACTGCCAGGCAGGCTGTGATGTCAGGAAGGAGGTGTCCGGGTGCAGGCCTGAGCTTGGGGGTAAGGGAGGTGCCACGTGGGTCACCTTGACCCTCTGTTTCACACAGTGGTGCCTTTCTTTGTTTCAGCCTCACCTTGGGGAGGACAGTAGTAACTCCTAACCTCTAATAACTAGAGAAGAAAAGGCAATAGAGACCAACTGAAGTATTGATCTAAAGAGGGGGAGTCTGCCCAGGTGATAAAGGTGCAAGTGGTAAGATTTCAGGCACAGTTTTTATGGAATAAGTGATAAGTGAACATCTACCTATTTCCCTCCCTTCCAATTTAAGTGGAAGCAGGAGTAACTTAAGCTAGATATAACGAAGAACTTCCTGAGTTTATGAACTTCCTGAGCTGGCTAGTGAGGACAGCACCGAGGTCAGTCTTCTTTGCCAGGTGTTTAAGAAGAGCTAGAGCAACACCTGCTGAGAGGCGGGGCTGGCTGAGAATCCCTGGGGATTGGCACAGATGGGATTTTCCCACTGCTGGCAGGAGGACAAATCACCAGGCCTCATGGCTTGGGCCAGCCTCTCCCTCTGAGTCCCTTATGTCACTAGCCAGGCAGCCCCGGCCTTGGCATGTTTGGGAAGGGCCTGCTCCTTGCAGCTCCTGTCCCTGGGGGTGGGCACGTCTGCTGGGTGTGTCTCGGGTCTCCAGTGGGCCCTGTCCTGCCTTTCAGTGAGGGCCACGGTGGACGCACCGGGCTTTGTGCCAAGATCACGGTGCTCTGGTAGCTGGCTCCGGCTTCGGGCCCATCCTTTCGGGATTTCCCCTGAAGGTGGGGTCTGTGGACGCCCCAGGACTGCCCGTCCTGTGCCCCTCTCTGCTCAAGGCTCACCCACAGTCGGCCTGGCCTGCCTGCTCCTCCTGCCTGGTGGGCTTTGCTGAGAGGCTGGGCTAGACTGTCCACATGAGAAGGAGGTAGCGGATGTCCCTCCCCGGGCATCCCCTAGGTAAGAGGAGTGGGCACTGCCTGGGCTCGGCCTAGTCTTCACTTCCTCTTCTCCTGGCTGCACCCTGCTTGCCAGGCTGAGGGCTGAGGAGGGTGCTGTCCTCCCTCCCTTGTCCCTGGCTGTTGGTGGCTCAGTGAGGACACCTTCTTGACCAAGGAGAGCTGTCTTGATTCCTGGTTTACAGTGGCCTGTGCATAGGGACACCATCTCCCCCAAGCTGCCGGACACACAGGTCCAGGTGACATGCAGGCCAGGCATGAGGCCAGTCTGCATGTCACTGTCCTATGAGAAGGTGCAGGATGCTCCCGTCCCCCCCTCTCCCTGCTTGGAGGTTTGATTGATGACCCTTCCCAGGGTCCTCTGCTGGGCCAAGCGCGTGCCAGGCTTAGGGATGGGGGCCAGGAAGAGGAGACCCAGGCTTTGCCATGGGCCCAGCAGGAAGCCACCAGCAGGACAGAGGTGAAGCCCCCAGGCCACTTGCTGCCCGTGTCCCTCTGCTGTCTTCTTCCGTGCCTTTCTTCCTTTCACTTTCGTTTTCCCTGGGCGCTGCACCAGCCCTTGTCCCTGACCCCGTGACAGTCACAGAACTGACCATGCTGAGAGATTTTCTCTGCCACTCAGGGATCCTACTAGCGCTTGACGCTTCTGGAGGTCACTTCCCCTCAAATTCCCAGAGTCTGGGGGCTGAGCCCAGAGTAAGCCATTGATGACGGCCACGGTGACAGTGCCAGCCTGTGATGTGTGCTGGTGTGTGTGGAGGAAGTGAGGGCCGCGGGGGCGGCTGTGTGTGTGTGTGTGTGTGTGTGTGTGTGCAGACGCTCCAGCAGGCTCTGAAACAACTTAGTTGGCACCACGGTTTTCCACCTCACCTCGCCTGGTATCTCGGTAGCCACGTCCCCCAGTTGGGTGGCCATGGGTCACCTACACAGGGGTGGGCTCGAGGCCCTGTGGGGAACTCCAATACAGGGGGTTAAGGGCATGCCTCCTGAAGTCGCGCTGCGTGCCTTCAGGTCCCAGCTCTGCCTCGTGCACGGTTTGTGCAACCATGACCCTGTGTGCCTCAGTTTCTTCCTCTGTAAAAGGGGGCTGAGCACGGCACCGATTTCAGAGTGGCAGGCAGGGTTAAGTGGATTCACGCAGCAAAGCATTTAGGATGGTGCTCACGCATTATTGAAGCTGCTTGGCGGGAGTCTGAGCTTGGTGGCGAGGTCCTCTCTTCCTGCCTCAAAGAGAGCCAATTCCCTGATCCCCCAGGAGACACTGCCCCTCATCTTAGCTCCAGCCCTTTTGACCTCTGAAGCCGGGGATGGAGCAGGAGATGGGAGCCAGGGGTTCTTGATTTAGTTCTTGGCTGCTTCAATCTTGCCGTGGGACCTGGAGCTCGGGCCTGGTTTGCAGTCTGTACCGTGGAGAGCTTGGGGTGCGTAACGCTGGGGGGGCGCCACGGCTGACCAGGTCCTGGGGTGGGCTGGCCGCCCCTCCCTGGCTGCTGGGGAGCCCTCCTGAGCCCTGCTCTCTGTCTCTCCATAGGTTGTGAGATGTGCTCCCAGGAGGCTCTCCAGGCACAGAGGAGTCACCTGGTGGGGCTGCTGGTCTCAGGGTCCCTGGAGGGCTTCGAGAGCATCTTGGACTGGCTGCTGTCCTGGGAAGTCCTCTCCTGGGAGGACTACGAGAGCCTCAGCCTCCCAGGCCAGCCTCTTTCCCGCTTGGCCAGGTGCCTGCTGGACACTGTCGGGAACAAGGGCGCTTGGGGCTGTGAGAAGCTGGTCGCAGCTCTCCAGGAAGCCCAGGCCGGCGGTCAGTCCCCTGAGCCACGTGACGGCTGGGACCCCCACTCACTCCACCCAGCCCGAGACCTGCAGTGTCACCGGCCGGCCATCGTCAGGAGACTGTACAGCCACGTGGAGGCTGTGCTGGACCTGGTGCGGGAGCGCGGCTTCATCAGCCAGTACGAGTGTGATGACATCAGACTGCCCATTTTCACGTCCTCCCAGAGGGTGAGGCACGGCCTGGGGTCCGCGTTCACAGGAAAGGCTCTTAGTCATCCAGACTGACTGTGCCTGGGAGGTCAGCCCGTGGGGTAACGCGGTCCACGGGATTCCCCCTAAAGAGCAGCCAGGAGGGGAGGAGCTGCCCTTGGTTATTGGCAGTGAACCACTGCTGGTGAGGGCAGGAGGTTGGCACCAGGCTCCGGTTCTGGTGCCGGAATGATGCAGGGTCAAGGTCAGCTCTGGGTGCTTCCGACTTCTGTGTGGAACCTGTGCATCTTTAGTCTCTCCTGTCTCAGTTTCCTCATCTGAACAATACTCTAAATAGTTCCATACTTACGTGATTTTGGGGAGAATTTAATATGGCACATAAGAAGCACACATCCACGTCACCCCTGACTGCTGTTATAAGCCATGTTCTGTCCTTGCACAATCTTATCGCTGTCTTTTAAATGAACAGCTCAACAGAGCATAACGCTTCACTATATTAAGTCTGTATCAATAATTGAAATAGCACGCAATGTACTAATATGTTCTCATAGGATTTCTAATGGGAAATCATGTTAGATCACAGGCGTTTGGAGCTGGGATGTAGCTGTCCCTGAAAATACAATGATTCAACGGAGACCGCAAGGACAGAAAAATGTCTGTGGGTATTTTTTGAAACACTCTGTTTTATTTTTCTCAAACAGCGATCGTCAGGCCTCCAGATGGAAAAGAGGCATTAACATTCCACTTGACAGAATAGGGAATTAAGGCCCAGGAAAGTGGTTTGGATGACGGTGGTTGAGCAGAGAGCCACTGTTGGACCACAGCCTTGACCATTCATTCATCATTAATTCATTCACTCATTTATTCAGCCAGATGCTATTCAGAGCTTATCACATTCCAGGCTCTTACCTGAAGTTTGTACTCAGAGTCCATGGTACTATGGTAAGTGCTCTGTAAACACTTGCTGCTGAAATGAATGGATTGCTGAGTGAATGAATGAAGTGGAGTTCAGTTGGAGTTTTAGAATAGTCTGAATTGGGGAAATTTGTAGTTTTTATTTTTGCCTGTTTTTAAACACATATTTGATGTGTGGACCTAGGTAAGGCTAGGTGGAGGATGATGAAATAAACTACTCTGTTTTCAAGTTGACTCAAGTTGGCTAATTATTCACAGTGCAGACACATTGTGGTCCTCTCTAACTAGTGCAGATAAGACCTACCTGTTCAAGTCTCTTGTGTTTTATTGGAGGGATAGAAGCGGCCCACCCAGGAAGTTACAAGTTAATGTCTGGTTGTCCCTGATCAAGTGATCAGCAGTGTGGTCTGGTCTGGATGCTCTGAGGGATTTAGAAGCTAGCTGAGATGCCTAGGGCCCAGACAGAGGAAGTATTTGGATTGGTAAAGAAAAAAAAAATGGTATAGCTTATGGATCAAAGAAGAAACCATACTGGAAATCAGAAAGTATTGAAGATCAAAAAATAATGAGAGCTGGGTGTGGTGGCCTGTAATTCCAGCAGCTTGGGAGGCTGAAGCAGGAGGATAATGAGTTCAAAGCCAGTCTCAGCCAAAAAAAAAAAAAAAAGCGAGGTGCTAAGCAACTCAGGGAGACCCTGTCTCTAAATAAAATTCAAAATAGGGCTGGGGGTGGGGCTCAGTGGTTGGGCACCCTGAGTTCCATCCCTGGCACTGCCCCCCAAATGAGAATATTATTATCAAAGTTTATGAGATGCAGCTAAAGCAGAATATAGAGGGAAACGAAGAGCCTTAAAATGCTTAGGTTGGGCACGAAGACGGGCTGGATTTCATGAACTAAGAATCCCTCCTGAGAAAGAACTAAGTGGACTGCAGAAGCCACACACACGGAAAGTGGGGACTGAGCTGAGTGGTGGAAGGGACAGTGGGGAGCAGAGCTGAGGACTGGGGGAGGGGCCAAGGGCGGCCCAGAGCGCTCTAGGTGTTTAGAATCCACCTTTCTCTGAGTTTCCTTCAAGTTGTGCTTTGGTGTTTGGTGCCCCCCCACCCCCCATGGCCGAATTTCAGATTCAGTGTGGGTGGGAACTGTGGTATGTCCTATTAACATGACCCCCCCCCCCCGGAACCTTTCAATTTCCTACATAGAGGTGCTACCATTGACCATTGATAATGATATCAGGTTGGGGGCTGGAAAGGACTGTGGAATGAAACAAAATGCAAGCTGAGGAACTAAATCCACAAAGTAACCAATGCTACTGTTGTCTGCACTGTAAATAACCAGCCAGCTTGCAGACAGAGTAGTTTATTTCATCATTCTCAACCTAGCCTTACCTAGGCTCACTTAAACATCAAATATGTGTTTAAAAGGACCTACTATGTGCCCCACGCTGTACTCAGCCTTTTCCCTATACTACATCATTTAATCCTCACTACGTCCTCCCAATGGTGTGGTATGACTACAGTCTTCCTTGACAATGTGGAAACCATCCAAATTGCCCATCTGGGAAGGGGCCAGCTAGAATTTGAATCCAGGTCTGTTTTTCTCCAAAGTTTAGGTTGTTTCTTTTTTTTGGTGGGGGGGGGGGTAAGGGGAATACCAGGGGCACTCAACCACTGATCCACACTCCCAGCCCTATTTTGTATTTTATTTAGAGACGGGGTCTCACTGAGTTGCTTAGCGCCTCACTTTTGCTGAGGCTGGCTTTGAACTTGCAATCCTCCCGCCTCAGTGCCCCTCGCTGCTGGGATCATAGACGTGCACCACTGCACCCAGCTCTTGTGTTCTTTCTCTGTCATAAAATGTGAGGGCTTCCTGTGGTCTTGCTCAGTTGGGAATAACAGTTGTTAGGAAACCTGAGACTGGTAACACCAGCTGTGACATCAACTGTCCGCGTGACTCATGCAACTGCTAAAGTTAATGGGACTGGGGTGTCAGAGTGAGCTCTGAGTTGCTTGCTCCTGTCACAATATTAACTTAAACATTTTTAGATTCGGAAACATACCATGCCTACAGAGTAGTGGATAAATTTCATACATACCGGATAAATATGTTGCATCACCCTGATTAAGAAAGAGAACGCTATCAGCACCCAGACCCTTCTTCAGTTGCAACAACCAGAGGCAACGTCTGGCCTGACCTTGGTGTTAATCATTCCTTCGCTTTATGGTTTTAGCACCTTTTAAACGAAACCCTTAAATGCTGGATTTTTTTTTTTTCTTTTGAAAAACTGAGTAGCAAGCCACACATTGTTGTGTAAGGAAAGGGCCAAATTGCCCTTTCTTAGGTCAATGTTCCCAGGTCGGGGAAGCTTAACAGGGTCTTGTGGGTGTGGACTGGCCCGGCCTTCCCTGGTAATTTATAAGGGACTCTGGGAGGTTGGTGGACAAGGTCAGGCCGGAGGATCTGGAAGCACCAGTATGAGAGGAGCTGCATGTCCAGTGGGAATATGGTCAGAGGAGGTGGGCTTCTCTTTCACTCAGTTGTGAGCTCACCAAAGGCTATTCTGGCTCCCAGGAAGAGGCCAAGACAAGCGCCCCTGTGGGGTGAAATGAACGTCCTCAGCTGACTTAGGCAGCTCATGGTGAAGACAAGTCACAGACAGATAAGGATGAGGGCCAGGCTTACCCGGGGTCTCGGAGGTGACGGCCCTCAGATTTGAGTCAGTGGTGATTCCATCTAAACAGGTGGCCCTCTGTGTAGCACACAGCCATCATCCTGATATTGGCCTTCCTGTGTTGGGTTTCCTGTATCCCGAATACTATGTCTTCTTCTTTTATTATTTATTCCATTATGATAGATCATATGTCTTCTAGAAAGAATGTGTGTCTGTCATTTCAACCATACTTTATTGACAGTTAGACTGGGTATAAAATTCTATGTTGGCCATCATTTTCCTTTAGAATTCTGATGACATTATTCCGTTACCTTCTCTTCCGGATGTTGTTGCTAAGAACTCTAAAACCATTGTATATGTCTTTCTGGAAGCTTTTCAGATTTTCTTTTGGTCTTCAACGTTCTGAAATTTCACACTTAAGTACCTAGGGTGCTGGATACCCAACAGGCTCTTTGAATGCAGAAGCTCATATCTTTATGTTCCGGGAAATTTAATTGATGAGTTTATTCCACTTTATTTTCTCTCTTCTCTCTTTATGCAATTATAATTACTTGAATGTTAGAATTTCTTGACTAACTCTTTAATTTCCTTCTATTTTCCATTTCTATTTTTTGCTCTATTTTATATATGATATTCTCTATTGTAAACTCTTAAATTTTTCATTTTTGCTATCACACTTTTAATGGGCAAGGGCAATTTTGACTATTCCTTTTTTATAGCATCTTGCTCTTGTTTTATGAATACAATCTTTTCTTTTCCTTAATGATACTTATTTTGTTCTGTTTTGTTTGCTTGGGTAGGTTAGGTTGTTTCCTTCATCACACATAAACTTTTCTATCCAACAAGTTGCTTTCTCTTTCCCCACTGGTTTGACTTTTACCTCCCATATTAAATATTTTCTTTGGGCATATGGTAGTCCTTGGTTGTCCTTCTTGTTATTGAAATAGAGAACTTTAAAATTCAATGAGTGTGCAGGTGAAATTTGTCTGCTATGCATTCCACTGTAGAGATTTTGGGAAACGGCAGATTGAGATATCTGTCTATCTATCTATCTATCTATTTATCTGCATCTTTAGACTTTCCTTCTAGATTGACCAAATTCCTTGCCTAGACCCGCCTGGGGGTAAAGGTCTGATAACCACAGTCCTGGGAGCCCAGGGGCTGCGAGGCAGTGGGTGCTGGTTGGAAAAGTTTCAGTGTTCAGCGTTTGTTTTGCACCGGGTCATTAAACCTGTGTTTGGTGTATGATGAATTTAATTGTGCCTGATGTCTCATAATCCAGAGATCCACCCCCCACTTCTTTTTTTTTTGGTACCAGGGATTGAACCCATGGGCGCTTAACCAGTGAGCCACATCCTCAGCCCTTTTTTGTATTTTATTTGGAGACAGGATCTTACTGAATTGCTTAGGGCCTCACTAAATGGCTGAGGCTAGCTTTGAATTTGTGATCCTCTTGCCTCAGTCTCCCGAGCCACTGGGATTACAGGCGTGTACCATCACACCCAGCCAGGGATCCTCTCTTTACCCTTTCCAGAATATCAATAGGCCGACTTTGCCACGGCAGGCAGGGATATTTGCTGGTGGCTTGGAGTGGGCAAGGGCATCTGGAGATCTAGTTCATAGAGCACTTTGACTCAGTGCTTGCCTTTGTCATTTCCTTCGGTTCCAAAGGTACTGGATGATGAGAGTCTCAGAGCCTCTGACAGATTCTAGAATGTACCTATGCACTTCCTGACTTCCCTATTGTTGGCTTGGGATTTGGCTTTCCGGAGTCTTCTGAGCACTGGGAGTGTGCCCGGTACTCTTCTAGGGGCAGAAGGAATTGAGCTGCAGAGTGTGTTAGAAAGTGCTCGTGCCGCGGAGAGTTGGTAGAGTGTTCTGGACGTGGAGAGGGTAGGGAGAGCAGGGAGCAAGTGAGTTCACGTTTAAATAGAGTAGTTGAGAGATCCCACTGGGAAGATGGAATCTGGGCAAAGAACTGGAGGAGGGGAGGGAATTTGCCATGGCCCAGGTGGGGAGAGGGCATCACAGGTCGGGGATGCAGCCAGAGCAGAGGCCCAGAGGCAGGAGCATGCTGGGATGCCCAGGGAATAGGAGCCCAGTGCTGAGTCGGGTGGGCAAGGAAGAGGAGGAAGAGGGGAGGTCGGGGTGCAGCTGGGAGCTGGATGGTTATGGACAGAGACTTTTGTCTGTTTTGTGCCGTGAAGTTTACTGTGGGACTCAGGGTTTGGTTGTGCTGTTTAACAGGAGGTGTGAGGGTCTTTTGTTTATAAAGGAGATGATGGGGCAGGGACACAGAAGGGAGGCCCATTTGGCAGGCTCTGCGGTTTTCTGGGTGAGCAGGGTGTTCTAGAGGGGGTACGGGGGAATGGTGGGGCTCTGCAGCTGTAGACGAGGCCACGTGTGGCCACTGAGTGCTCAAAACACGTGGTCCACACGGATATTCTCCCCACTGTTTTGTGGGGAGAAGAAATCTTCCATTGTAAAGAGAAGATGCAAGCCGGGCGCTCCCTGAGTCTTGTTCCAGCAGCCTCGAGAGGGAAAGCTCATCAGATTTTAGAGACAATATGGAGGAAAGAATGCTGCATTATCACACTCATTTTTTTTTATAATATTGACTATGTGTTGAAATGGTAATCATTTGCATATCTTGGGCTAAATGGAATATATAGTTAAAATCAATTTCATCTTTTTAAACATTAAAGAATGTGGCTGTTGGAAGATTTTAAATCTCAAACGTGGCTCACATTTGTAGTTGATTTCTAGTTCCATTGGGCAGTGTTCTAGGTATCCTTAATGGTGCCCAAAGGATTTCTGGTGGATTGAAGCTTCAAGGGTGACTTCAAACCTCTGGGGCTAAGCACCTGGAAGATGGCGTTGACTTCAGCTGATATGAGGATGGCTCTAGGCTTGGCACATGTGTGGGTGTATATGAGTGGAGATGGCAAATGGGCAATTGATGAGCCAGGCCCAGATTCAGGGACGAGTTCAGGCTGGGGGTCAAGAACAGAGATCATGTTCAAGCATTGAAGCCATGAGACTTGAAATCACTTTTCTTTCAAGTCATCGACAGCTTTTGGAATCATTTTCCTTATCTTTGTACATTTGTTTATTTTTTTAGGTATTTACTTCTTGAGTGGGTTTGGAGAAGGAGCCAGATTGGATGAGTGTGTTTATTTCACCATCCAATATTGTACCAACTTCTTTTAACTCCTGTGATAATTTATTTGTTTTTCAGGCCTTTTATTGTGATGGCAGAGAGATCCTATGGCGTTGTAGTTCATATAGAGTATCTTTTATCTTAAATGCTTGAATCAGAAATGTCTTGGTTTTCTGTTTGTTTTTTTTTCAGATTTTGGAATATTTGCATATACATAATAAGATATCTTGGGGATGAGGCCCAAATCTAAAAGTGAAATTCATTTATGTTTCATATACACCTTATACACATAGCCTGAAGATAATCTTATACAATATTTCAAATAATTCTGTGCATGCAACAGTTTCATAGTATGGAATCATCCACTTGTGACATCGTGTTGATGCTCAGAAAGTTTTGGATTTGGGAGCATTTCTTATTTCAGGTTTGCAGATTAGAGATGCTCAACTTGTACTTGGTCGAAACCTTCCCACACCCCTCCTCAGCCCTTCTGGAAAAATAATGGCTTCTTCTTCTCCCACAGGCAAGGAGGCTGCTTGATCTTGCCGCAGTGAAGGCAAATGGATTGGCTGCTTTCCTTCTCCGGCACATTCTGGAATTACCAGTCCCATTGCCCCTGCCTTTAGTGGGTATGTGTTTGTTCTTCTCAGTTTGTCAGGAAGGAGAAGGAAGTCAGCACAGATTCATGGTTAATAGCAGAGCATGCATCCGTTGGCACCCACATATTGATTCTGCATCAGCCTTCCATGAGAGTCAGTTTCCTCATTTTAAAGCTAACATGGCTCCCGGACTCATCGGGCTTGCAGGGAGGGAATGAAAAGATGAAATTATTGACCTTGTCCCTTGGCTTTGATCATGTCCTGTGCTGCATCGTGATTACTAGAATTGCCATGAAGCAAGGGCTAACAACAGGTGCTCCTTACCGTGCCAACTCTTGTCGTCTGCACTAAGAAGATCCAGATTCACTTTTAGAGGTGGGCTGGGTATCTCTTGACATCTGAAATGTAGTTTTTGTTCTTCTCCAGTTTGTCAGAAAGGAAAAGGAAGTCAGCACAGATTCATGGTTAATAGCAGAGCATTTACTCATGATCAGAACCTCAGGGACCAAGTGGATTTAGAGAACATGGCACCCCTCAGTGCCCATGCTCACCAACCCCACCCAGGAATGGGAGAGGCCTGTGCACACAGCTACAACACACTGTACAATAAATGCCCTTTGCAATAACCCTGGGAATTAGGTGTTTCCTCCACTTTACAGATGTGGAAACTGGGCAGGCAGGTTAAGTGACGAAGCAGTGGAGACGGGTGTGACTGCAAACTGTCCTCACCTGCACTGTCTTGTGGGGAGAAGAAATCTTCCATTGTAAAGAGAAGATGCAAGCTGGGCGCTCCCTGAGTCTTGTTCCAGCAGCCTCGAGAGGGAAAGCTATCAGCACTGAAGGCCCTTGAGCTGTGTGCCTGGTGCTGACAGATGGGTTTCTCAGCCTGAGTCCTGGCCTCTCAGCAGCGAGCAGGCCTGAGGGCGGGATGGCTGGAGGCCTGTGCTTGGCATGTGGCTGTGTGTCATCTCCTTCAAGAGCAGGATAGAGACATCAATGCACAGTACCCAGCTGGCCCTTGGTTAACGATTATTGATATCATCAAGCATAGCTGGCGAGGCAGGCACTGGGGACACCGTGCCATGGGGCAGGTGCTGCTGAAGGTGACAAGTGATATGTCTATTGATATCTTTAAAATGAGATATTTTTTTTTGAGGAATTTGGTGTCGTTAACCATGGCTGTGAATCTGCGATGGAAGTCAGGGTATTGGAAGGAAAGGTCTATAGCTTCTGGTGTCTGCTTAGTGCTCCTGATATAGCCAAAGGGCAGAAATAGCAACAGTGAGCATAGCTCTGGGAGCAAAAGAGGTGACACGTGTCTGTAGTCCCAGCCACTCAGGCGGCTGAGACAGGAGGACCACTTAGCCCGAGAGTTGGAGTCCAGTCTAGGCAGCATAGCAAGACTCCATCTTAAAAATGACCAAAAAATAAAACATAAAAAAAACATAGACACAGAGCATCTGCAACTTCAGTGAGCTGAGAGCTCCCTGCAAAAATTACCTGTTGGCTCCTGGGTTGAGAACTAACGGGCCAGTGTTTGGTTGGGGGCAGTGCGGCTCCAATGATGTGAACCGTGCTGATGTCCTACCAGCCTAGCTCTTGGGACCGGCACTTCTCTATTTCCCAAAAGAGGAACTGACCCCTCACACAGGAAGTGGTTTGCACACCCTGGAACCAGGATGATAAAGGAAAACATCAGCCCTCTGGATGCACCCTGGGCACGCGAACTCTCCCTGCAGAGGGGACAAGAGGAAGATGGGGACGTGCAGGCAGAATCAGAGGGTCTTGTCTGAGTGCTTGGCCTGGGAACCACGGTGACCTTGAGACCCTCCAGTGTCCGGCCCACTGAGATTTTTGCAGGTTCCTCTCACCGCAGCCACCTAATCCCTTTTACCATGTAAGGGAACATAGTCACAGGCTCCAGGAATCAGGACGTGGACATCTTTGGCCAGGGGGCACTGCAGTGCCTGTACCAGTAATGTTAATAGTGAATACCACTTTTGGATTGTTTACCAAGTGCCAGATATTCTTCTAAGCCCCGTTCGTCTCACTGCTCCTGAAACAGTTCTTCAAGATGTGGATTGTTCCTATTTCTATAGATCAGAAAACCAAGGCCTGGTCAGGTTAGGTGGTGTCCTCAAATGAATGGTGGATGCAGGTTTTTTATTTTTTTATATTTTTAGGTATAGATGGACACGATACCTTCATCTTATTTGCTTGTTTATTTTTTTTTTTATGTGATGCTGAGGATGAAACCCAGTGCCTCACACGTGCTAGGCAAGCGCTCTACCGCTGAGCCAGAACCCCAGCCCCTGGACACAGGTTTTAAACCCAGGTGTGTCTGACTGCAGAATCCTAAGCCCTTAGATCCTGTTTCCCTCTAGGAAGAGGCAACCGAAGATGAGTGGTGAGGGGACTTGTGTAAAGCCACCTGGCCAACATGGTGGGAACAGCATCAGAACACAGGTCTCGTGACTCGAGCCCAATCCCCACAGCCAGTCTGGTGTCAGTAGTAGTCAGGGCACTGGATGATGTCTTTGGAGCATTTACTTTGTGAGGGACATTGTTCTTGGCACGGGACATGCATTATCTCAGTTGATCGTGTTAAAGCTCCATAAGGTGGTGACCGCCAGTCTCCCCACTTCACAGGGGAGACAACTGAGGTTTAGGTGGCTGTCTTTGAAGTCCCCAGCTAATGGGCGTCCACTGGCCCCTCTCTCCTATCAGCACATTCCTCCCCGCAGCCCTCTCCGGTTGGGTCCCACCTTGACCACAGTCTCGTCCTCATCCGCTCTTCTGCTGTCTTCCAGCTGCAGAATGCCGGAAGTACGTCTCCAAGCTGAGGAGCACGGTGTCGGCGCAGTGCCGCTTCCTCAGCACTTACGACGGCGCGGAGAATCTGTGCCTCGACGACGTGTACACAGAGAACACCCTGGAGCTGCGCACGGAGGTGGGCACGGCCGGGGCCCTGCACAAGAGCCCCGCCACCCTGGGCCTGGAGGAGCTCTTCAGAGCCCAGGGACACCTCAACAAAGACGCGGACACCGTGCTCGTGGTGGGCGAGGCGGGCAGCGGCAAGAGCACACTCCTGCAGCGGCTGCACTTGCTCTGGGCGACTGGGCAGCACTTCCAGGACTTTCTCTTCGTCTTCCCGTTCAGCTGCCGGCAGCTGCAGTGCGTGACCAAACCGCTGTCCTTGAGGACGTTGATCTTCGAGCACTGCTGTTGGCCCGATGCGGGCCAGCAGGACGTCTTTCAGTTCCTCCTCGACCACCCCGACCGCGTCCTGCTAACCTTCGACGGCTTTGATGAGTTCAGGTTCAGGTTCACCGATGGCGAGCGCCACTGCTCCCCGTCGGACCCCACGTCAGTCCCCACTCTGCTCTTCAACCTCCTGCAGGGCAACCTGCTCAAGAACGCACGCAAGGTGCTGACCAGCCGTCCAGACGCCGTGTCGGCCCTCCTCAGGAAGTACGCGTGCACCGAGTGCCACCTGAGGGGCTTCTCAAAGGAGGCCATCGAGCTTTACCTGAGGAGGTGCCATCCTGAGCCTGGGATGGCAGATCGCCTCCTCCACCTGCTCCAAGCTACCTCAGCCCTGTACGGCTTATGCCATCTTCCTGTTTTCTCATGGATGGTGTCCAGATGCCACCAGGAACTGCTGCTGCAGGACGGGGGGTCCCCAAAGACCACCACAGATATGTACCTTCTGATCCTGCAGCATTTCCTGCTGCGTGCCTCCCCACCCGACATGGCCTCCCACATCCGGGGACCCAGCCTCCTCCGAGGCAGGCTCTCCACCCTCCTGCACCTTGGTCGACTGGCTCTCTGGGGCCTGGGCATGTGCTGCTATGTGTTCTCTGCCCAGCAGCTGCAGGCAGCCCAGGTGGGCCCTGATGACATTTCTCTTGGCTTCCTGGTGTGTGCCCAGCGGGTGGTGCCAGGGAGCGTGCCAGACCTGGAATTCCTGCACATTACTTTCCAGTGCTTTTTTGCCGCCATCTACCTGGCGCTGAGTCCTGACGTGCCCGTAGCCTCGCTCAGACACCTCTTCAACTGCCACAGGCCGGGCAGCTCTCCACTGGCCCGGCTGCTGCCCACACTGTGCGTCCAGGGCTCCAGGTGTGAGGAGGGCAGTGTGGTGGCTTTGCTGCAGAAGGCCGAGCCGCACAACCTTCAGATCACAGCAGCTTTCCTGGCAGGGCTCTTGTCCCAGGAGCACCGGGACCTGCTGGCTCCGTGCCAGGTGTCCAAGAAGGCCCTGCTCCGGCGCCGACGAGCCTGTACTCGCCGCTGTCTATCCCGCAGCCTCCGCAAGCACTTCCAGTCCATCCCGCCAGCTGTGCCGGGTGAGGCCAAGAGCATGCACGCCATGCCCGGGTTCATCTGGCTCATCCGGAGCCTGTATGAGATGCAGGAGGAGCAGCTGGCCCGGGAGGCGGTGCGCGGGCTGGATGTCGGGCACCTCAAGCTGACGTTTTGCAGGGTGGGCCCCGCAGAGTGTGCCGCCCTGGCCTTTGTGCTGCGGCACCTCCAGCGGCCCGTGGCCCTGCAGCTGGACTATAACTCTGTGGGTGACATTGGCGTGGAGCAGCTGCTGCCTTGCCTTGGTATCTGCAAGGCTCTTTAGTGAGTGCTGCTGGGCATTGCTGCTCGGGCATGGCGGGGGGACAGGGCCCGAAAAGTCATGCCCTTTGGGATCCAGACGTCCCGGTGCACCCCCTGGTACGACACAGGCCAGACCCTTCCCCATTCTGGGCTTTAGTGTCAATATGTGACAGCCATGCCTTAGTCAATGTCCCCTCTACCAGGTATGGTGCTTGCTGCTCTTTCCGGTATGATTTCATTTAATATCCACAGCCACTCTGTGCTGGCGGCAGGGCCATTATTATCCCCTTGTCCTTGATCTAAGGCTCAGACAAGTGAAGTGAGTCACACAGAAGGGCTGGAGATGCGGCTAGCATTTGTCACTCCCTGAGTTCAATCCCCAGTGCCATGAAAACAAACCAACAAATAGAGACAGTCACAGGCTGGGGCTGGGGCTCAGCAGTAGAGCACTCGTCTCCCATGTGTGAGGCCCGGGGTTCACCACATATTTAAAATAAAATTTAAAAAAGGTATTGTATCCTCCTACAACTGAAAAAATATTTTAAAAAGAGAGAGACAGTCACACAGGAAATTGCAGACTGGGTTTCACATTTTTCTGACTATCAGTTTTCTACTCTCCATCTCATCTCTGTGGATGCACTTCTAAGGCTCTAGGAAAACCTCAAGGTCATGTGCAGAGTTTTTTTTTGGGGGGGGGGATGGGGGGCGTTATTGAACTCAGGGTCACTCGACCACTGAGCTACATCCCCAGCTCTTTTTGTATTTTATTTAGAGACAGGGTCTTCCTGAGTTGCTGAGCGCCTCACTGTTGCTGAGGCTGGCTTTGAACTTGTGATCCTCCTGCCTCAGCCTCCCAGGCTGCTGGGATTACAGGCCTGCTAGTTTCCCTAGTCCTTTTGATTTTTATTTTGAGACAGTGTCTGGCTAGGTTGCCCAGGCTGGCTTCTGACTGGTGATCCTTCTGCCTCAGCCTCTCAAGTTTTAGGGAATATAAAAGTGTGTGTCACTGTGCCCCACGTGGCCCACTTTTTTTCTATCAGGTAGTGCAGTGTGCAGGTGGGATTTCAGCATTACCCAGGGGAGGGAGTACTGCAATTCTGTAGAACCCATGAAAAAGCAAAAAGTTGTAGACAAAAGTTAAAATCTATTCACAATCTTCTGGGGCTTTTGGGCTACTTTCAGGTGACCTTTATTGACCCTAAGCAAAGGGTGAGAAGACCCTCCTTGAATGTATGAAGGTGGTGCGTCTTCTCTGAGGCAAATCAGCAAGCCTTCTTTTCCTCCATGAAACAAATACATGGAATCTACTTGAACTTGTTCAGTGGCTTTCATTAGCCCCGAGATAGGGACTGTGGTCATAAGTTTATAACATAGATTATGGGTAGTTAATCATCTATAGTATTATGTATATTATGTACAATTAATATAGAATGTAAGTATGGCTGACCTTGTTGTGGTCTTGGAGGAAACATATCCCACACTTAAACTGGGGTAAGCTGAGGAGAGTCTAATAAAGGGACTGTCTACAGAGGTCATGAAGAGCCAAGGGGGATGGAGCCGGGCCCTGGGGCTAGTGGTGGTTGGTGGACCCGAGGCTCAGGGAGGGCAGACTTATTAGCTGAGAGGAAGGAGTGGCCAGGGCATCCTGAGCAGCCTGGGCTCCAGGAGAGTCAGGCTTGGCCCTGGTCAATGCCTCTGGTCAGTGCCTTCCTCTGCTGAACCACCGAGGAGGCAGATCTGCCCCTGCTGCTGATGGCCACAGACGTCAGCCTCCCAGGACCAAGAGCCTGGCAGAGAAGGGAGACAGAGCATCTGGCCAAGTAACGGCACCATACTGCACTTCCTCTGGAGGGACGAGGTGTGGTCTTCTGGCTGGGGAGTCGGGAGGCCCGTCTGTCTGCTAAGCTGGTTCTCCCAGGGGTTCTTGAATCCCAAGAGACCAGAATGATTCTCACAGACCAGTCCATCCCTGGAATTCTTCAGTGGGTCCTCTCTGACTGATCAGGAGTGTTCCCATGTGGTGTGCAGAGGGCTGTAGGGAGCTGGGCGCGGTGGTGCACGCCTGTAATCCCAGAGGCTTGGGAGGCTGAGATGCGAGGATCGTGAGTTCAAAGCCAGCCTCGGCAACTTAGCGAGGCACTAAGGAACTCAGTGAGACCCTGTCTCTAAATAAAATAAAAAATAGGGCTGGGGATGTGGCTCAGGGGTCAAGTGTCCCTGAGTTCAATCCCCAGTATCAAAAAATAAATAAATAAAAGGGCTTTAGGGAAGCTGTGGGTCTGTCTCTATTTTCAGAGAAAGGTGAGGCAGGCTGGGTTCCAGTGCATGGTGCTCAGACTACAGTGTGCAGAGTTAACTGATGCAGGGCAGATTTCTGGGCCTGCCCCCCGTAACTCCCATTCAGTGGGTGGCCTCGGTATCTACAGCTGTCCCACACATTGCTGGTGATTCTGTTACAGCTGGTCTCACACCGAGAAGCCCTGGTCTGGAGGAATCAGCTTGATGTTTCCATTAGCAGTCGCCACCATTTGGATAAGCATTCCCCAAAGGTCCACGTGTGAAAAGCTTTGTCCCCAGAGTAGCACTACTGGGAGATGGCGGGACCTTTAAGAAGTGGGCCTTGTAGGAAGTCTGCAGATTTTTGGAGGCGTGCCCTTGAGGCGGACTGTGGGACCCAGCCTCTGTCTCTTTCTCTTTCCTCTTTGGCTTGTGATGTTAAGAATGTTTGCTCCGTCACAAGCTTCTGCCATGAGTTGCTGCCTTGCCATCGTCCCCACAGCAACCAAGGCCAATTGACCATGAACTGGAACTCCTAACTGTGTATCCAGATAACTCCTTCCTCTTTATGTGTTAGTTATGGGAGAGATTTCATTATAGAAACAGGAAGTGAACCAGTGGTTCAGGCCCTCGACCAAGATCCATTGTTCTTTATCCTACGCACAACTAGAAGGTTGCTTCTTGGGCATATTTGTGTGTGTGTGTGTGTGTGCGTGTGTGTGAGAGAGAGAGAGAGAGAGAGAGAGAGAGATGTGTGGGGGCGAGGGGGCCAAGCTCTCTCCCACAGCGCCAGGTTGCATCTCTCCACTTGAGGAGTTTCCATGCCAACTAAAGCCCTCAGCCTCTAGGAAACCCCGTATGTAAAGCACCCGATGCAGGGTTCTTTACACCCTGACTCTCTCTGACTCTAGGGTGATGGGTTTCAAAGTTTTTTGGCGGTAACCCACAGTGAGAGCAAGCGGTGAGCAGACGCACCCGCGTTCAGAACTTCTAAACGAGAAGCTTCCTGAGATGACTTTGCCTCGTGAGCTCTGAGACGCTCTGCTCTCTTCTTTTGTCCTATTTCAGTTTTAAAAATGCTGCTCAGGACCTTCAAAATTGGTTCTGTGACACACTAATGGGTCACACGACCTGCAGCCTGAAAACCGCTTCTCTAGTACGGGTAGCCATCCGAGGCCACAAGGGGGGCCCCACAGTGTTGTGGTTAGGGGTGGGATTTGGAGCCAGACCACTTAAGCTCAACCCTTTAGGTGCTGTGCAGCTTTAGCAAAGTCACTTCACGTGTCTGTGCCTCAGTTTCTTTCTAATGAGCATCATAGTAGTGCCTGCTCCAAGGGCTTGTGGTGAGGATAAGGTTACTGTTGGGAAGTGCCCAGGACCGGCACACAGAAAGTTCCATACGTGCTAGTGCTCCTGATGACAGGTGACTCGTACCATGTGCCAGGGGCTCACAGGGCTGTATGTGTACAGCCTGGAGAGGGTGATAATACAGTCGTTCCCTTCTTGTACATGAAAGAAACAGAAAATAGCTAGTAAGAGCCTGGTCAGGATCAGAATGTCCAGATGAGGAACCCCAGTGCCTGAGCTGATAACCATTGAGTCAGGGCCATTGTCTGAGGATTAAAAAATCATTGCACAGATGTTAAAATATATGGACCTCTGGGCCCCACCCCGCGTGTATGGAAGCACCAGTTCAGGATAGATGCCCTAGAATCTAATCTGTATTTTAGGGAAGTTTTCAGATGAGCTCATGGTTAGATGAGCTAGAGGGGGCTTGCTAGGCAGGATCTGCCCTTCAGGAGTAGTGTCCTTGGGTCAAGGACAGCCCAGAGAGGCTTCACTATCTACAACCTGTTATGCACTAGTTGGGGCCAGTCTCATCCAACTGTCTACAGTCTGCTAACCAGAAGGTGGTGACCATCACTGCCCCAAGGGTTGGCCCATCTGGTATAGATCAGCCTCTTTCCACTGGGACCCTTCAGTGAGGCCACTGTGATGACCATTGTCCTTTTGCAGAAATAGAAATGGGGCCTGGAATTAGACCTGCGACTCTCCAAGGATTCCAGTGTTCTTCATTAGGGACTCTGAATCCTCGGGCCGTCCCCACCCTAGTCAGCCACCTGGCCAGGAGTGCTGGGGGGTCTCCATGCTTCCGGGGTGCTCTGTCTTGGTGGTGGTTCCCAGAAGCACATATGCTGGCACTTTGGGGATATGAGCAAGACTCTATTTTGGGGGTGCTGTACATTTTCTTCCTGAAAAGCTCCATTTTTCAATTAATTCATTCCATCTTTTTTAGTTTGCGCAATAACGATATCTCAGACCGAGGCCTCTGCAAGCTCGTTGAGCACGCTCTTCACTGTGAGCACCTGCAGAAGTTAGCGTAAGTTGGGCTGGGCTGTGGGCGTGGGGCCTTGTGTCCCCCAGTCTCATCCCAGGCCACGCTGTCTGGGCAGCCGAGAGTGTGAAGGGCTGGGGGAGGGGTGCTGCCTGGCTGGCGTGTGCTGATTGGCTCCTGCCAGGGGAGAGTGGGCAGCCTTGGGTTTGAGGGCTCACTGGCCACAGGCCTCACCTGCACATCTCCTCTGTCCTGGGACATCACAGTTTGTTCAACAACAAATTGACTGACGGCTGTGCACACTCTCTGGCCATGCTCCTCGCATGCAAGCAGGACTTCTTGGCATTGAGGTAAGCCCTGGGTGTTCCTGTTCCCTGGAAGGTAATTTTTGGTGGGTTCTGGGTCCACCTGGCCCGGCCCACAGGTGGGCTTGTGACTTCCTGACTGAGCCCAGGGCAGTGTCATTGTGAGCTGGGTTCCCGCACTGCTTGGATCTCCTCTGGACCAGCTCTGCTCAGGGGCACCTGCCCTTTTGACCTTCAGCCCTCAGGGCAAAGAAGAGTTTCTAGGCCCTTGTCCTTCCCTGTGTCTAAGAGTGTCCCAGGCTCTTTGGGGTTACCAGGTTCCCTGATGGACACTGAGGGTATCCTGCTGGGGAAGACATGTGCCATCTTTGCCCCAGGGCTGTGCCAGCCATTGGCTGAAATGCTCCTGGAAGGTCTCCGTCACCAGCTGGAGCATTGCTTTGTGGAAAAAATCTATTATTTTCACTTGCTGGCCTGGGTTTGGGGATGGAAGCTACTGTTTTTAAACTTGGCTTTGTAGCTCTGCCTCCTTCAGAGCTGCTGAGACCAAGGCCACAGGTGCCTTTTGCACAAAAGACTCTATTCTGCCATTACCACCTGCTTCCCCAGACTGACCTGGTTACCTGCCCAGGGAGGGCTGCAGGTGGCACTGGGGTGTGTACCTGCATTTGAAGCCCTGGGTTTCTGGTCAATGCATCAGAGTACTTGAAACTAGGGGCTCTAGAGCTGAGCTGCCCACAGTTTGACTCTAGGAACCCTTGGAATTTGAATCCTCATTAGCTGTGTGACCTTGGGTCAGCCTGGTAGATGTCTCTGTGCCTCCATTTTGCCCTGCTAGAAAATGAGGATAATGATCATAGCCCCCTCTGAGGTTGTTGTGGTGGTTGAGCGAGTTATTATACATGAAGATCTAATGCAGAACAGTGAGTGCTTTGTATAGTGAGCTCAGCCCCTGAAAGATCGTGGGCAAGTTATGTAAGCTCACAGCTTGCGAGTCTCCTGTGAGTCCTCCAGGAAGGAACTGCACGGCCATCAGATTTGCTGGGGAAAATGTGTCCAAGGGGAAACGGGGAGGGGGCTGGGGAGGCTGAAGAAGCTTGTACTTCAGTGGAGCTCTGAGAGAGCTCAGCAAGGCCATCGGAGCGCCTCAAGACAAATCCATGGGGCTGGGGGATTTGGCCACCGTGTCTCTCGGTCACTGGGAGGAAGCCCCTTGTGGGAAGCCTTGGGCCTTGGTGCCGAGGCGAAGGGCATGGATTCTGGGGCCTTGGTTGCCTGCAGGGAGCTGAGGCTGGAGGTCGGGGAGGTGCCGTCTCACGGTGCTGCACCCCTTCTTAAAGGGAATAGCAGTGCCCACTCTGTAAGATTGTTGAGTCAGAATGACTTACGGTTCTTTGAACAGATGAAATTACATTCTGATTATTCCAGGAAGTGCTGGGTGGGTGAGAGCTCTGGGGATTTTTCTGACACTCTTGGACATACCTGAATTTGGCTTCAGCTGGACTCTTTCTGGTTGGGACCGGACCGTCCTCCTGCCCCAACACTCCCCTGTGTCCCTTTGGGGGTTGGCAATGTACATGCCCAGAGGCTCCTTCCTCTTCCCAGCTGCCTGAACCTGCCCCAGCTCTTGCAGAAGAGGTAACTACTACCTGTGGCAAAGTGGTTTCTGCATGTCAGCAGGGACGTGCTGGGGTGACTGAGACGATTGGGAAAGGTGGGACAGAGTCATCTTCAGCTCTTGGGAAAACTACCTCCCAGGACAGCTGCCTGTTACGGCTCCTGCCCAGACCTGTCATACTATGTCACCAAATAGTCCCTCCTCCACTTTCCTTTGGCTGGGGACGACAAAGTTGGAGCCACTGAGTGAGCAGGTAGCTGCTGCACTCGGGCAAGGTCTTCAGGGCTTTCCTGCCAGGCCTCCCTGCCCTGGCACTGCGGAGCCTCGTCCCCTGCCCTCCGCTGAGCTCTCAGCCTCCTGCCTTCCCTTCCAGGCTGGGGAACAACCACATCACCTCGGCGGGGGCCCAGGTGCTGGCCCAGGGGCTCCGAAGCAATGCCTCCCTGCAGTTCCTGGGGTAGGTTGGACTCTGGGACAAATAGGTCTGTGCGGAGGAGTCTGGGGACTTCCAAGAATGTAGGGCAGGTCAAAACCACCAGTTGTAAGGCCCCAGAGGGGGCTGGGCCCCCCTGGGGGAAGGACAAACGGGGGGGGGGGGGAGTGAGTGGGTGGCTCTCAGCTGCCTCTGTGCTTGCTTCATCTGATAAGCAGGAAGTTCAGGATGTCAGGGCTGGGGAAGGCAGCACCTTGAACCTGGGCCAGGAAGCCCTCTGGTCCTTGGGGTGCTTAGGGCTGTGCTTTGGCTGTACCTTGGAACCACTCCGTGCTTCTGAATGACACCATCATCAGGGCCCCATCCCAGACTCATGCAGTGAACATACCCCAGGGATGTGGGTCTCTGTGAGGGCCCTGACCTGGAGGGAGGGATGTGGGAAGGATGGTAGCCAGGATGGGAGTGTGCCGCCTCGGCTCTTGAGCAATCGCCCTGGCGGTCGGGCCAAGCTGGCGCCTGCCAGGAAGGGGAGGGGGATCATCCACTGACTGTGAGAGGAGCCCCCACCCCACAGGGCTCCAGAGTGGGGCTTCCCCTGGTTGCTGGGCAGAGCATCTGTCCCTCCAGGGTGTCACTCCTGCTGTCCCCAGCAGTCCCTCGGCTGTCCCATGTGAACTGTTGTACATTTGACAAGAACAGGGATCTGAGACTGAAGAAGAGAGGAAAACTCTGGGGCTCAGCTCTTCCAGCCACTTCACAAGCAGACAAGTTGCCCACAAGCTCAGTTGGAGGCGTGATGTTCTAGAAACCAGCACCCTGTTCAGGCTGCATCGGTAGCGACAGAGTTAAAACTAAGTGGGTCAGAGAGAATGACCCAGAAGGGGAGAGGGTTGGACACCATGAAGGAGCTGAGGGTGCTAAGAAGAACAAGAGATATGAGCTGACTTGTGGGGAAAGAGGTAGACTGGTCCCGGGTGGTCCCTGGAGCTAGTTTCAGACATGGGTGGCAGCTACCAGGAAGCAAATCTGAACTCAAAGTTGGGAAAGTGTTACAACTCTGTGAGCTGCGGTTGAGGGTGGGCTCCATGTCCCTGGAGGTCTGGGATGGTTGGGCCTCTACTGTGTCTTAAGTCTGTGATTTAAGGCCACTGAAGTCTGAGAGAGGTTGGGCCGTCCCACCAAAAAGATGGCAGCAGGTCCGCTCTGCTGGGACCCAAGTGAGAACTTTGTGTCCCAGTGAGAACTCTCAGGGATCGGGTGGTCCTGCCCCACTGGCTGGGGCTTCAGGGGGCAGGCCAACATGAGGACAGTTCTAGAACCCACAGCAGGCGTCCACTAACAATCTGTTGACTCCATTGGTCCTCTCAGGCTCTGGGGTAACAAGGTGGGTGACAACGGTGCCCAGGCCCTGGCTGAGGCCTTAGATGACCACCAGAGCTTGAAGTGGCTCAGGTAAGCTGCAAGGTCCGCCTCGCGTTTTTTCACAGGGAGATGGGCAGTGAAGAGGAAGGAGATCAGGCCAGTTTTGAAGGTGGTTGAACTTCTTTCCATCCCTCTGTGTTAGGTGGTTGGGGAGGAAGAAAGACCATTGGTTTTGGAGTTGGGGCACTTGAGGCTTTCTGGGTGACTCTGGAGATGACTCTTCTCCTCCTTAGAAATTGTTTCTCCACCTGCAAAATTGAAGATCTTAGGCCGAATCAGTCATATTGTATCTTAAAAGACCAATTGCAATCCACTGGTCGTGGCTGTACAGTGTCCCTCGTGAGAAAGGATCTCTAAGGCTGTTCCTGGGCTTGAGGAGCGCTGTGATCCACTAGTGCACACTGGGTCAGTGGGGCTACGTGTGCCATCCGTGTTGCTCTCTGTAGGTTAGCTGACCTCTGAGGTCTCTCACCGCTCTGATGCCTTTCTGTTTCATGACTATGTCCAGCCTGGTGGGGAACAACATTGGCCGTGCAGGTGCCCAAGCCTTAGCACTGATGTTGGAAAAGAATGTGGCCCTAGAAGAACTCTGGTGAGTTCAGGGGATTCTCTGCTCTGGGGAGGAAGAGAACAGCCTTTCTTGATTGCCTGGCCACATCCAAAGAGCAGCTGTGTGGATAAGACATAGAGAGGATGACTGAGTGATTGATCAATTTTTGTCTTTTTAATGTACTGAGAGGTATGAAGCTCACAGAGCCTGATGTATAGCTCCTGATTTGTTTTCATTTAATGCTTTTTATTACTTTACTCATTTGTTTACTGTCCTCCCACAGCAAAATGGGTAAGAGTGCAGACTCTGGCATCAAGGAGGCTGTAATCTTAGGCAGGTTAAATAACAGTCTCTGAAACTCAGGTTTCTCACCTGTAAAATGAGAGTGAGAATGTTTCCAACTATAAAAATATGTGTATAAAAATTGTTAGGTAGTGCCTGTGAGAGCTTAATATAGTGCCTGTCATATGGGTGAGCACACCACAGATGTTAAACCATCGCAGCACTGAAGTCACCACTACTATGGTGGCAGCTGCTGCTATGACTACAGCTACTACTCATACTATGACAGCTGCTAATGATGAAGTTTTGTTATATATTTTTTAAATATATATTTTAGTTGTTGATGGACCTTCATTTTACTTATTTATTTATATGTGGTGCTGAGAATTGAACCCAGTGCCTCACACACATGCTATGCAAGCGCTCCACCACTGAGCTACAATCCCAGCCCGAGTTTTGTTATTTCAAAGTGAATCTGAATTCCTAAGAACACTGAGTGTTAGAATTAGGGGTCACCTTGGAAGGTGAATGGAATTTGGGGGAGTTGAAAGGTGACCCATGAATTGTGCTCATGCTGTTGACCTGAAGCAGACTCCCAAGTTTTCCATCCTATAGATATTGTTAACAGAGTCTTCAGTTCCAGGGTCATCTTTGTACTTCCAAATTATATCAGGGAGCTAAAATGTTTAATGTTAAATTTTTCCAGGAAGCAGAAAAAGCACTGAACCATATAAACCTTGCCAGAAAATGGATATTGAGGATGGGTCACGGCTCTTGGCAGGGCTCACTAGTTCTGTCAAAGTACCACTGATGGAATCCTGATTGGATTTTGCCCCTTATCATTTCTTGGTGGAAGAGCATCTAACTGTGAGCGTATCAGTTATGATTACTGTTAAAAAAAAAAAAAGAACTTCAGACAAATTCATTTTAGCAAAATTAATTTGAAGAAAGACTTATTCATGAACTGGGCAGCACTTAGAACCAGGAGAGGTTCAAAGGGCTCCATCCAACCATGGATACACAGGATTTACAGACAGGGAAAGGAAGTGACATACAGAAACAGCCTGATTGGTCACTGCTCGGCACTGGTTTTATTTGGACACAGTGTGATGAATTAGCAGCCTGTGATTGGCTGAAGCTTAGCTGCTATGATTGAGATTCAGCTATTTGTTACACGAATATTCTCTTGGTTTACAGTTTGTTTGCGTACTGAGTTAGGTTGCAGTTAGCTACAAAGGAACTCAAAGTATGGAGGCCACGTCAGGCCAAATTTAGTTTAACTTACCACTGCATGAGGCTGCAAGTAATTTTTAAAAAGTCCATCTACAAGGCTTATACCAGTAAAGGATTTATTTTTCATGTATAAGTAGTCTGGAGGTAAGCAGTTTTGTTATGGTGGCCACTAAAGGTAGCAGAGGCCTTGACTCTGTCTCTATCTTTTAAATATTCTTTATTTTCCTGTGGCTTTATCCTCAAGGTTGGTTGCCTCATCATCACAAGACAGTTGCTCCCCCTGCAGCAATTACTTCTGTATTCCAGGACTTAGTCTACAAATCTGAAAAGCACAGGCCAGCTATGACTCTCACCTTTCAAAAGCATTCCTGGAAGGCCCAACTGTCAACTTCCCCTATGTATCAGTGACCATGTATTTGGTCATTAGAGAGTGGGAAATATTTTTTACCAGTAAGATTATGACTACCCAAAATGAAAGGAGGTTTCCATGGATATGAGAGAGCAGGGACCTGAAGGAGTTTATTATATAGAAGAGCCCTGGAGTGAATTCTCTTGCAAAGATGTCCCTGGAATTGAGAATCTTACCTTATCTGTCCTTACTTTATTTGTAGGTTTAGATTTTCGGATGTTGGATGTGGATTACTGACATCATGTTCCATAATAAGTGCTATCATGTCAATGGGATTCTCTCTTTCTCTTGCCAGTCTGGAGGAGAACCATCTCCTGGATGAAGGTGTGTGTTTTCTTGCAGAAGGACTGAAGAGAAATTCCAGTTTGAAAGTCCTGAAGTAAGGACCCTGTAAGCAGGAGCTGGGGTGGTAAGGACTGGCCTTAGGAGCGGGTTTCTGGATCTGAGATCGGGGCAGCTTCCCAGTCCATATGAGGTGGCCTGCTCTGGGTGGATAAGGATCCTGGTGCAACTTGTTGACCTGGGACATGGTGTCAGCAAGCTTGATGGGAGAGCAGTGGAGTGAGGCAGGGACGGACGGAAACCCATGAGTGTGCTTAGTAAGGAAACTGGAGCTCCCTGCTGCTGAGACCTCCCAGAGTCAGGGTAGAACACGCTGGTCACCTCCCAACCAGTGGATGAGGAAGCAGGGGCATCTGTCCACCCACTACCTGTCCTTTGTGTAGCAAGGCATTGCATCAGTCAGCTTTTGCATTACCGTGATCAAAATGCCTGACTAGAACAGCTTAGAGGTTGGAAAGTTTGTTTGGGGCTCACGGTTTGGGAGGTTTCAGTCCCCAGACAGCCAGTTCCATTGCTCTGGGCTTCAGGTGAGAGAGCACCTCATGGGAGAAGGGCCTGGAGGAGGAGAACCCTCTGCTGAGTCAGGAGGCAGAGGGGGTGGGGAAGGGATTGCAGGGAGATGCATCCTCCCAGAGCCCCCCCCCCCAGGGACCCGCCTCCTCCAGCCTCGCCCTACCTGCCTGCAGTTACCCCCCAGCCCACCCAAAACCTGGAACGACCGATGGGGTTAAAACAGCCATCACATTCTGATCATTTGACCTCTGTGTATTCCTGCATGAATAGGAGCTTTTAGGGGGACACCTCACATCAAATCGTAACAGTGTGCTTGCTTGCGGGAATGTGAATTCTCCAGCTCGTTCTCATGACTGAGTGTGCCCCTGGGGCAGGAGAAAGGTCTCAGGCAGAGAGGGGCAGGTCTTCCCAGCAAGCAGCCCTCAGAGTTGGAGGTGAAAGCTGGGAGCAGGGTGGGCAGGTTGCCAACCCCTAGGGGCCTGGTTGGGCGTTTTGGATGCCCAACACCAGGGGTCTCTCTCACTGTGTGAAGCGGGCACAGGTGCTGCGTTTACGCATGAGTGCTCTCTCCCGGTCCTCTGACACCTGTGCGCACATTCTTTCATGCCCACATTCCCCCACATAGGTGGTCATACGAGAAGGGTTTCTCCTGCTTGGGGTACCGAGGAGAGAGTGGCCATAAACGACAAGGTCATTTCTGATTCCAGAAGGTCAGGAAGAGGTTGCTGCTCTTGGGCAGGGCCTCTCTGAGAACGTGGAGTCTGAATTGACACCTGAACCGCAGGAAGGCGCCTGCCGTGCTGAGGTCTCAGGGAAGCGCATCCTTGGGGCAGGAGGGACGAATCCGCCAGTGCCAAGGCGCAGGCAGCTGCAGACCTGGTGGCCCTGGGAACAGAGGGGTTCCTGCAGCCGGGGTGGAGGGGGAAGGAGGAGGAAGCCCCAGAGCCACGCAAGGACTCTGGTGTGGAGAGGGGTTTCACCCTAAGGGACAGTGGGTGTGATCAGTAGCCCACTTCATGACCCCCACAGGCTGTCAGTTTGTCTGCAGCTGCTGCCCTGAGGTCTCGCTTCACGGGGACCTCAGGGCACCATGGATGGCTGCCTCTGCAGGAGGAAGGTGGTGTCTTCCCAGGTGAATGCGGCCCAGGAAACACACTTGTCTTCGAGACAGGTGCTCGGCTGCCTCTGGATGATCATCATCTCTGCTGCCAGACCGCTCCTCTCTGGCAAGGCGTGCTGGGTTGCTTTGCAGGGGCCAGGACGTTGCCAGTGTTTGGGGAAAACACTTCCACTCATCAAGTGGGCCGCGAGGCCTGGGCACAGCCCGGATTTGCCTGAGCCTGATGCCAGCTTTGCACAAAGCGGGGCCCTTGGCAGTACCTGGCCCATTGTGACCAGGTGTGGATGTGGCAAGTTCACCCTCCCTCACTGTCCCAGACTTATCCCACAGATGCCAGGCATGACGGGGGGTGGGTGCTTGTCCCATGCTACGTTGTCACCAGCTTTATTATTGAGCATCCTGAACTATATCATGTCCCACTGTTTTCCCATAAAAACTGAGCTGCTGGTATGGAGAGAGAGAGAGAGAGAGAGAGAGAGAGAGAGAGAGAGAGAGAGAGAGAGAGAGAGAAACCCACATCTTTCTTTTTCTAGCATATTCTCTGCCAAGCATTGGTTAGAGTCCAGGCTATGCAGCCAGACAGCCTGGGTTCGTACCCCAGCTCCCCCACTGCCAGCTGTTTCTCCTTGGATGAGTGCCTGGGTGGCCTCAAGTGTGAATGGGGATAGCAATTGGCCCCTCCTCATGGGGCTGGGCACATTCATTGATGTAATCCTGAACTGGCCTATAGAACAGCTTGGCATTGCCTCAGGTCAGCTGTGGGGTGGAGGGGAGACAGGGAGTGGATATACTAGAAGGCAAAGCTTTAAACATCAGGGTGGTGTGGGCAACACGGAGCTCTTCCCCTCCTCCCTGGGCTGTAGCTCATCTCCAGCCTCTTGTGGTTTCTAACCTGTGGTCCTGGGTGCCCTGAATCCTCCCCAGATCTGAGAACATTAGCTTGTTGATATTTTCTGACAGTCAGGCACGGTGCCCCATGCCATCCTTTGTTCAATTCTATGTGGTGGGTCCCCCTTTATGCCCATTTCACAGATGAGAAATGAGACAAATTTGCTTGAGACCAAAAAGGAGCTGGTGCTGGGTGTGGTGGGGTATGCCTATAACTCCAGTGACTGGAGGCTGAGGCAGGAGGATCCTAAGTTCAAGATTATCTTGAAGCAGTTTAGTGAGGCCCTAAGCAACTTAGCAAGACCCTATATCAAGATTAAAAATAAAAAGGTCTGAGGGTGTAGCTCAGTGATAGAGTACACCCTAGGTCCAGTCTCAAGTACCACACAATAAAAAGGAGATGGTGCAGGCTGGATTTGAACCCTGGGTTCCTGGAAGTCCTCTGACCCCTTAAATGTAGGAACTTAGCCATTCCACTACAGCACCCTCCTAAGGGGAGGGTTGGGAATCCTAGAGAGGAGAGGGATGTTCCAAGGGGACAGGTGGGCTCAGGTAGGCTGGCTAACTCCCAAAGTCTCCTGTAACTGGACAGGCTCAGGAGGCAAACCAAGCATCTTTGCAGCTCACCATCTCCTCTTCTTCTCCAGGCTGTCCAACAATGGCATCACCTTCCTGGGTGCAGAAGCCCTCCTGCAGGCCCTCAAGAGGAATGACACCATCCTGGAAGTCTGGTAAGGACCCTGGGAAATCCTCCGAGCCTCAGTTTTCCTATCTGCAAAGTGGGTAAAGGGGAGAGAGGAACAGCACAATGTTCAAAATCCCTTCTGACTCTGACACTTTGTGTCGCTCTGCATGTGACGGAACTGGATCTCTGGCTGGGAAAGAATTCTTGGCGTCTCTGAGTGGAGATCAATTCTTTCGTTTTAAAATCATGAGTACTTACTCAAAAAGTTCAGGAACAGGGTAGGATTGGGAGTGTGACTGAGGAATGAAAATAAGAGAGACGAACTTGATGCCCGCCCTGGTGAGGATCCTCTGCAGTTCTGGATCCTGGAGGTTACCCACTGGGGAGGCTGGGGCTCAGTGTATCCACAGCCGTGCAATTTAGAACCACAGTCCTTCATGCATTTGGAAAAAGCATCAAGTCACGACTTCAGAGATGTAGCCTCCCTGTTTCCAGGGATCTGTTTCTCACTCAGACAATAAGTAGAAAGTGTTACCCTGCTCTAGCTCATTATGAGGGAATGTTGCTGTCTGTGTTTCGGGTACCGATATTTTAAAACAGTAAGAGATCTGCTATGCAAATCTATATTTCAGGGTTTTCTTGAAAGAGCCAGCAAATCTGGAGTCCCATTTGCAATGCCCTTGATCAGAGGAGGGAAAAGGTGGGCAGTCTCTGGCTGTGCTGGATGCAGACCCCGCCATGCCTGCTGTCTTAGAGCAAGACCTTTGGCTTCTGTATTTTACCTCCCCGCCCCTGGAAGCTCTGACCCCTATTTTAATATAGACTTTGTCCTTTCTGCCCAAAAGTACATTGAGGCGGCAGCAAATGTGGATATCAAATGATGAAATCAAGCACAAATCTGTTTGTGAAAATTCGTCCTGGGCTGGAGTGATTTTGCTTTCTGTAAAATTGTGGAACCCCATAGCCTCCAAGGTCACTGGGTCCTGGGCTGGGGGGTGGTTTTTATTTATTTATTTGTTTTTAAACCATTGCACAGTCCTCAGAAATGTCACGTTCTGTGTCCAGGGAGCAAGCCAGTGTCAGGTGGGTATTTTAAGGGCTTGGATGCTCCTTGCCGCCTGTCAAACAGGGCTTGGGAGGAGGTATCAGGATTTGATCGTGGCATTCTTGACCGATTCCGTGGCTGCCTTAAAAAGAAGGGCCGGCCTGGGGGAGTCTGCAGCCGGCCTGGCTCAGGGCAGTGGACTCTTTCTGCAGCGTCACTGAGCCTTGTTCATAGTGCAGAGTGATTCATGAGCCGCCCTGGGTGACCGAGGGTAAAAACAGCACCAACTTCCCTCCCCTGAGCGCCGCAGCCGGGCCAAGGGGTCAGCCCCTCCCAGGCATGGGTGGCCAAAGTGGCAGCTTCCCTTTGAAAGCCTGGCTCTAATTTTGTCCTCCATCCAACCTCTCTTCCCTTTATCCTTCCAGGCTCCGAGGCAACAGTCTCTCTCTGGAGGAAACCGAGCAGCTCAGCCACAGGGACAGCAGACTCTTGCTTTGATGTTTCCAGGCCGAGGCTCATTTCAGTTGGTTTGTGAGGAAGCTGTGGTCTGGACCCTGGAAGCTGGATTGGCAGCAGCCCATTCAGACAGAGCCCTGTCCTGCCCTGGGGTGAATCTGTTTTCAGAGAGCACCACAGGTCACCTGACTCCACTGGAGGAAGGCACCGCAGTGCCCTTCAGAGTGGACTTCCCCAAGCCTACTTCTGCTCTCAGGTTCTGCCCCAGACTCAATCCATGGGATGGACAAGAGGGGCAGACCCTCCCTCCCAGTATGGGCCCGGGCCCAGCTAATCCACCAGGGTTCTGAGGGGGGTCAGTGGGGCCATGGGTGTCTACTGAGTGCCTGCAGGTCCTGACCCACAAGTCATCAGAGGAGGTACATCCAGGAAGCAGCTTTCTGCCACATCCGTCTCCTGGTTCATCCACCCAGTGGTTCCCAGCCTGCCTCCTCCACTACCCTGCGGAGACCCAGAGAGCTCCCAGCCCTGGCCCTGAGTATGGGATGGGCCACACCTTCCCCTGCTCTGCCGCCTAAGACAGTGCTAGAGGGAGACATGGGGCAGCCTTTTGTTCCCTAAGATATTCTTAGATTTGCAAGAAAAATAGGATCATGCTTCAGCTCGGATACACATGGACTTTTATTTCCAGTGAAATCAATTACACTTCAGTTAAGCTTTTGGAACTAGCTCCCATCCAAATGCAGCTTTTAAAAATTAATCTGGGCCAGAATTTCAAACGGCCCCAGTAGGCTTCTGGTTGATGCCTCTGAACTGAACTCTGACAACAGACTTTTGAAATGTATCCATAAGAGATGGTTCCATTTCATTTGTGCAGAATGCTTCAGGATATATAGTTATGGATTGGAAGTTTACAGGGGGCAAAAACAGACCCTTCTTTCAAAGCAATGTTCTTTCTATACTTTTATTTTTCTCTCTCTTTTTTTGTACTGAAATTGAATCCACCCAGGGGAAATATAGCACTAACCACACCCCTAGGCCTTTCAATGTATTTTTTGTTTTCAAATTTTGAGATAGGTTTGAGGCTGGCCTCAAACATGTGATCCTCCTGCCTCAGTCTCCCTTGTAGCTGTGTTATAGATAGGTATGCACCACTGTGGTTGGTTGTTCTCTCTGGATTTTTCAAAATGATACAGGTTGAAACCTTTGAAAACTGTCAGGTGCTGCATGTGTGTTATCACTGTAAACATTATTATGTGTGAAAACGGCTTAATATTTGTAAACTACTTTGTTTTATTCTCCCCAGTTGATACTTTCATAGAGCACAAGATGACGAACTTTTTCCTGTAAATAATCACAGAGGAGAAAAACTGTTGAGTTACCAATGCCATCTTCGTTGTGACCAAACATTTTTAAATATTCCAAAAACTTGTCAAATTTTAAAGCACAATGTTCTTCTCAAATGGGGGAAAGGAATGTTTTCAACAAGATAATTTATTGCTGAAGGCAGAAGCAATTCTTAGAAATAGTCTGGCAATCAAAACGCATTTGGCTTTAGCTTAGAGACTCTAACTCAGTGTGAAGTTCTAAGCTGTGCCTGAGCCTCCCGGTGTCCCACTGAGAGTCCGAGCAAATGTGAAAAGGCCCCCAGGGCCTCCCTCAGTTCTCTCCAAGTGGCTGCAGGAGTCTTTACCAGGACAAAGATGGAGATTTGCAGGCTCTGTCCTCGGCTGGTGGCCTCTCCTGCGGGCCCTGCTGAAAGGATTCTTATCTACATTTAATGAGCATGAGCTCAGGTGGCCGCTGGCCACAGTGGAGTCCAGACTCTCTGAAAGATTTCGAGTGTGTCTGGCTCCCTAAATGGCGCCATCTCCCTGGGCTCTGAGCTTGGGCAAGCCCCTGGGCTCTTGGTTACTGGTGCTGTGCTGCTCTGCCCCGCCTGTGCTTTCTGGTGCTGAGGGTCTGGAGGGAGGTGGGGATGGAGCTGTTCTCACTGAGGCGTGAACACAGCAGCCCATTCGTGCAGCACCATCTTGGGTGGAAATTCATCTTTCCTGAGTCCATTCAGCAAGGACTTATTAACCAGTGGTGTTGGGACAACCTGTGGATAAACAAAACAGACATATTCCCTGTCCTCAAGGCACTTAGGTGAGGGTGGAGGAAAAGGCAGGAAGAAATTAGGTACATTGAAAATCGTACCAAAATAAGGTCTACTGCAGTAAGTGCTGGGAGGGAGACTGAAGTTTGGGATGGGAAATGCCTCCTGGAGGCTGGGGCGTTAGAGGCTAGGTTGCCAATCTGTGGTGCTCATGGGAGAGCGTGGGACCTTCAGGATGTAGGCGCAAGGCAGTTAAGTCCCTGGGGACATGCCTTTGAAGGGGATATTGGGATCCAGGACTCTTCTTCTCTCGGAATTCCTGGCCTTCAGGAGGTGACCAGCCTCCTCTGACATGTGCCCCCTTGCCATGATGTACTGGGTGCCACCAAGGCCCAAAGCAACAGGGACAAGTGACCTTTCCTCCTTTTATCTTAGGTATTTTGTCACAGCAAAGGAAAGCTGGCCAAGAGAGAAATGAATAAAGGTGCAAGGTAGAGGGGACCTTCTTCACACCACGGAGGGGTTGGTCTGAGACAGGACCTCAGAGGAGGTGCCAGGTATGCTGTGTCCCCAAGAAGGAGGAGGGCTGGCCATGCCATGAGAGAGTGGGAGAGAAGGCCTTCCAGTTACAGGAAGGAGCTGTTTACAAAGAGTCTGTCAAGGGCAGGACTTGCTACGTGCGGCAGGCTGGTCAGCCCCCAAAGCCATCAGGCCCTGGTCCCTGAGACCCGTGAATGCTGTTTACATGGCAGCAGGGAAGGGGTACGGGTGGTATTGAAATCATGGACTTTGCAGACGTGATTAAGTTCAGGATCTTGAGATCATCCTGGATTATGTGGTAGGACCTAAATGCTATCACCAGTGTCCTTATAAGAGAGAAGCAAAGGAGCGGCTGACAAGAGAGAAGGCAGCCTGGGGCCACTGAAGCCAGATGCCATGCTGCTGGGTTGGACGGTGGAAGAAGGGGCCAGGCGCCCAGGAGTGCAGCAGCTGCTTTAGAAGCCTTTGGAAAAGGCAGTGACCCAGACTCTCCCTTGGAACTTTGGGGGGAGTTGGTAGCCCTGGCTACCCTGGGCCCATTCCATGTTGGATTTCTGGCCTCCAGGTTACAAGAGAATATTTGTGTCACCTGAAACCACCAAGTTTGTGACAGTTTGTCACGGCAGCCAGAGGAAACTAATACAGTAGGTTGGTGGCCAGCGGAGGGCAGGCTGTCACCGGACGGGTTTGCATCTTGCACCAGTTCATGAAGAGTTTAGATGGCCATGGTTAGGAAGGTGACCTTGATGTTAGAATAACAGCAAGCCCTGAAGGATTCAGAGCTGGAGAGATGTGACCCAATGACTGTGTAACCAAGACCTTCTTTGCTCTTGATGGAGATGGGACTACAGGAAGAGAAAGTGGGGAGATGGCCTCAGTGTCTTGCAGGTGAGAGGCAGTGGGCCAGCCTGGGGTGTCGGCAGTGGAGGTGGACAGAAGAGAAGGGATTCCAGGCATTCTGGAGGCAGATTCTCAAGTTTCTTATGGGTAGACTGGATGAGAGAGCTCGGGGGAAGGCAAGGGTCCAGGGTGCCTCCTAGATATCTGCCTTGAGTACCTAAGGACTGGGATCAATAGAAAACAAATTTAGAAGGGGAAAGAACTTCTGTTCTGGATTGCCAAGATTGAGATGCTTAAGTAGAAGAAGTCAAGTGGCGTCCAGGTAAAGGGTAAGGGTGGTACTGAAATCTTGGTATATTAACTTTGAAAAATCTAGCAGCTATCATCAAGAGTATTCTGGGCCTGTGTAGGTAAACAGTGAACTAGGATTCTTTTTTAAAAAAATATTTTTTAATTGTTGATAGACCTTTATTTATTGATTGATTTACATGTGGTGCTGCAAATCGAACCCAGTGCCTCACACATACCAGGTAAGTGAGCTACTGCTGAGCCCCAGCCCCAGCCCCTAGGATTCTTAATCTTAAGGTTCTCTGATAAGGAAGCTACCTGAATGAGCTGTGATTGTGGCTGGTGGCTTATCCAGGAGAGACAGATCCCAGATTTATGACTAAGAATATTTATTTCCTCTGTGCAGAAAAACAAGGTATTTGTGCATGAGAATTTTCAAAAGAGCCTCAGACTTTAATTATATTTACCATCATCCTGGAATACAAAAGTGTCAATCTGAGTGTTTCTGCTAGTCCCCAGTCCTCTTAATAATGCCAAAAACAGGATGCTGGAATGAACACACCCCACTGAAATGTGAAATGAGAACAGAGCGTTGTTCCTCGTTGTACCAATGTATCTTCCAGCCTCTCTCCCACTCAGATGACTGGTCCAGGCCAGGGGGTGAAGCGCACAGGAATCACCCTGGCAGTGCCCATGTATGAGGGCACCTGTATCCTTGGGCCCTGGATAGTATTACAGGTGAACGGTAAGGTGACCCAGGACACTGGGACTGACCTGAACAATTTCCCCTTGGAGAGCTGCATTTGACTACAGCTGTGCAAACTAGAAATATAAGATCTTTGTCTTTGCTTAGTGCCAAACTATCATCAGTTCCAGAACCATCCACCAATCCAATCCTCTGAGCCCCGACGGTCCCCCATCACTCTCCCTGAAAACCCTCTCAGGAGCTCCGCATCGTGTTCTATTTGGAACACCTCCTTTCGTGACATCTAGAGTTCCATATTCCTTCCCACCCCTGCTTCTTCCCGGCTTTCCCCTAGGAAACAAGGACCCCTTGAGAACCCCTTTTGCCTGGATTCTTTCTTTCTTACATTGATTTCCTGGATTCTTGCAGCAGTGTCTTGCAGGGTTTCCCTTTCTCTGCTTCCATACCCTTGTCCGTGTCTGGTCCCTCTTAGGGATGTCCTCTTCCCCTAGACAGTGCTGTGGCTTGCTCCATTTCCTCCGGACCTTTGTTCAGATACCTCCTCATTGAGGGAGTCCTTCCCTGAACCATCTGTCTATGCTCAGCCATTCCTTTCTCCCCCAGCCTGTGTAATGGTGTACTACTGGGTGTACATTTGTTTCTTCCTTTGTGCTATAGTTTAGATTTTTTTGGGGGGGTGGGGTACTGGGCATTAAACTCAGAGGCACTCAACCCCTGAGCCGCATCTCCAGCCCTATCTTGTATTTTATTTAGAAACAGAGTCTCACTGAGTTGCTTAGGACCTCACCAAATTGCTGGCTTTGAACTTGTGATCCATAGTTTGGATCTTGACTGTCTCCCAAAGGCTTGTGTGTTAAGGGCTTGGAGATCAGCTTTGTGCCATTGGGAGGGGGTGGGTCCTTTAGGAGGTGGGGCTTAGTGGAAGGAAGTTAGGTCACTCAGGGGCATGGCCTTGAAGAGGATATTTGGATCCTAGCCCTTCCTTCCCCCTGCTCTCTCTTTCTCTCTCTGGCTGCCATGAGGTGAACAGGACTCTTCTGCCACATGCTCCTACCATGATGTACTTTGCTGCCACAGGCCCAAATCAACAGGGACAAGTGACCATAGACTGAAACCTCTGAAATCATAAACCAAAATAAACCCTTCCTCCTTATGAGTTGATTTTTCTCAGGTATTTTCTTGCAGTTAAAGAAAGCTGACTAATGACACTTCCCCTGGAATACCAGCTCCTTGAGAACAGGAACAATACTCACTGCAGTGTATTCAGAGTCTATAAAGGTGCCCAGCCTTAGTAGGCGCTCAATAAATATTTGTTAACTAGATGAAGGATTCACCCTACTTAAAGGGAACAGAAAACTGAAGTTGAGACAGGTTGTAAGAATGACCCCACCTCCACTCCCTTGACACTGCTAATGCCTCCTTGCTGTGGAGGAAGGTTCTGCTGGACATGAGGCCAATCCTATTGCACCAACTGTCTGAGATTACAGTTGTAGCATAAAGTTCTCAATGGTGAGCATTAAGCTTTTCTCCTCTCTGTGTTTTTAAATCATACCCAGAAATCATTTGTCACTGATATAAAAAAATAGCTCAAAAAAGGAGAGCATAGGTTTATAGTTCAGCTGGATTAGTTTAAAGGTGATTAAAATAATCCCTTTTATCTCATCATAAAGAGGTTGTAGGTGACCAGAGTAAAAGCCTCCAGGCAGAATGCTCAGTTGCACCAGAGTTTCTCCTCCTTGAAGGATAAGCACATCTCTGAGATGGAGGTCTCCCAACTCCTCATCCAGGGATCAAGACAGGTCACTGGGCTACTATGGAGAAAACACTGGTACCCTATCCTTACCTGTGTGGACGCCTGGTCCAGGTCGCCCCTTGGCTCAGAGCTCATTCTGAATGCCCGTGTGCACAGGGGTGGTGGGAAAATGACTGGAACCATGGGAGGCCGGATGAGTGGTTGGAAGTTCCCGTTTACTGAGGTGGGGACAGCAGTGGGACTGCAGCAGGTGTGGGGACTATCACCTGATCACTTTTGG